AGGGCGAGAGAGTTTGCTTGCACACATGAAATCGGATCTGGTCTGGTCTGGCTGCCCGATCTATCTTTCTTTCTCTTTATCTATCTTCCATATCTTCCCTTTTTTGATTCTCTCTTGTTCTGCATCAATCTATCTATACCTACCTGTCTATCTGTTTATTTTGCCTTTTGTCTGTCTACTTTCCTTTTTCCCCAACAGCGTAAGATCATGGGGTCTTCAGCCCAGATAGGCTCCGGTGTGTGCCGGTGCGGGTCTCCAGTGCCGAGTCTCAGGAGCTGCGGTTGGTTCCAACGCTTGATCCAACCAGCCAGTTCAACAAAACTTCGGGAACTACCTCGGTGGGTTACAATCGTGGAGGTGGCATCGTCCGCCGTGGTGTTGCTGCGATGGAGCCTGCTTCGAGCTCTGGCTATGATCCACGACTTCCCCGGTCTTACTTGCCCTTGACTGAGGACTGGGACCTGCCGCTGGTGGATGAATGGGCTCTCGTCACTGACGATGGAGAGGACGAGAATGCCAACTATGATGATGAGCCTTGAAAAAGGCTGACTACCCGTGTTTTTGGCAGTTTTTTCAAGCCGCAGTGACCTGCAGGGGGGAGTGTGGTTCGTTTTCCATTGAGCCATAACTCCATGCAGGTACATGTGGTCGAACGACCAACAGTTTCAGAAAGTTGGATGGCATGCAACATGGCATGGCCACCTGCGCAAGGAAGACACGCCATTGAACAAATGGCTCAAGGCTCAAGGTGCCTCTTGGAAAATAGAGCGCGCCAGCAGCTGAAAAGCTGACCTGTGAAACCACGGTTACAAACCCATGTATGGATATTTTGCTGGTAAATTTGGGGGATGGTGGATCCTATTGCTCCAAGAATTAAGAACTGGGTATCAAGAAGTCCCCTAAAACATGGGACGATGAACCCCCGGCTTCGGTTCTTATCAGGATCTGATGTCCCCCTTTGCAATCGTGGCTGCAACCAATGGTGAATCATAGCCAATGGTATCCCAGAATTGATGCGGGGAACAATTTAGAGGGAAACCTCAAATTTGCAGGCCAAAAACCCATGGGTTTCCTCCAATAGTTTCCTTTCGATCAGTCCAGTGAACCACCTTCTTCCATTGCTGCTGATTGATCCCTTGAGGCTCGCAGTCTCTCCAACGTCACGTCAGTGTGCCGTGGTTTTTATGAATCTACGGTGTGCGTCGGTGGGACCTGCCATGGTCAAAACATGGTATATTTGGGGATGGTCATCCCACCATCATGAATATCATGGCATTCCTTGAAACGGTATTACCCTCTGGTAAACTAACATAGCTATTGAACATGGCCATTTGTAGTGGATTTACCCATTAAAAAGGGTGATTTTCCATGGTTATGTTAGTTTACCAGAGGGTATATTACCATCATGTGGGCCCCATGACCATCATGACCATTCTCCAATATTTGGGGGATCACTTTACATCAACACAAATCAGGGGATCGTTTTGGAGCAACCCGTATCGTAGGTGAGTCGTGTGTTCGCCACGCTGGAGTGATAGTCACTAGTGAGGATCATTGGCATTTTAGTACTTTAATCTCTTGCCACATTAAAAATATATGTATTATTATATATCTATTATATATATTATATTATATATCTATTATATATATATATTTTATTATATATATATATTTGCATATCATATAATCTCATATATATATATAAATATATATATATAATATCACATACACACATATATATATATATATACACACACATATTAACCAGCTGAAAGAACATGAAGGGTATCTGAGATGGGCCATTTTCAACGGCTGGATGATGAATCCTAAATCGTTGGTATCATTATAGCTGGAACATGTTCACAATCCCGATTAGAGTAAGATGTGAGACCACCGAAGTTTGCCAGGTTACCCAACCGTTGGACTCTGACTTTCCATGTTCACTTTAGGATGTGTGACGTCGCCTGGCTGAGCCCGCAATGAGCTCAGCCAAGCCGAAGCCAGCGAGGTTTATCCATTCAGTGATCGACAAAATCGACAACATCATGCCAGCCCCGGTGGAGGTTGAGATGAAAGGCTGAAACCACGCCAGCGGCGAGTCCGCGAAAGCTGGAACCCCTTTGTGATAGAGAAAAAACGGTGGTAAAAAGTAAAAAGGGGATGGGAAATCATTGGTGAATCTATTCAAAAATATTCAAATCATATGATCCATGACTGGGGGGGAATAACCATCCATTCACCAGCTCTTTTGGGGCCATAGATATGATTTTTCTGCATCCAGTAAGCCCCAAGAAACCGAAGTCGGACAGAAGTCGATCTCTTTGCAGGCACATCCCTTCGCAAGAAATTGAGACATGGCAACTGGGAACACTTTTCTGGATTTGCTGAAGATGTTTTTTCTTTTTAATGATTTTTTAGTTTCCCAATCCACTCCTTAGGGAATCTATAGGGAATGGTTTTTTTTTGGGTCCTTTATGATTCCACGAAACGATCATACCCTTCGGTAATCTAACGGTTTGCCAAGCCACCCATTTATATAGTTCGATGACTTGCCGTTGAAAAAAACCGATGCGTTTTATGGGTTGGATGACCTATAGATGGGTCCCATCTCCCAAATATCCAAATGTGAGCCGACTTCACATAGGGAAACCCAAGGGAATAGACTCAAATCCAGGGTTTCTAGGGATTTAAATACCAAAAAAAAAACCATTCTCCACTTAGAGTCCAGAGGCTTGATCTATACCGTTATGGATTCAAAGTGGAACCCAAACCCATGTGTTTTTTTTTACTTAATATTACTTATATATTTAGTTCGTCAAGTGCTATGGCTATTACTATATAACTCATGAATACTGGTTAAACGTCTATGTTATTTACCTCTATATTTATGGTTACTTATGTATTTCGTTCATCAAACTAGGATTATCATTCCCATGACTACCCAGAAATCGTTGGCCTTTCCTCCGAAGACTCTTGAAACCACGGAGTACGGCTGGAGGTTTCCGTTTTGTCACCGGGGAGCCCCAGTTACCGTCCAAGTCACGGGTGAGCATGATTTAGTATTGAAACCCATGGCAACTTGGGGATCCCCCATTTTGAGAACCCCCCATATATATATAATATATATAATATATATAATATATATAATATATATAATATATATAATATATATAATATATATAATATATATAATATATATAATATATATAATATATATAATATATAATATATATAATATATATATACATATTAAATCATCTATGTAAATATCTAGGTTCAATCTGGATGATAACTTGAGTTCTACTCACTTATGATTTATGGGATGCAACCCGATATGATGAAGATTGGACAATATTAACTGCAACAATTGTTACCATCTGGTTATTTAACATAGCTACGGAAAATGGCCCATTTATAGATGATTTTCCCACTAAAACCTCCATTTATAAGGGATTTTCCATGGCTATGTTAAATAACCAGATGGTACATAAAATTACTATAGTGGGTCTACACATGGCGACGGCTCAAAGTTGGGGACTTGCCTTTCGAGCTGCGTGTGGCTGGCCCCATTAGCATCAGGGTGTGGCTGGCGATGCCTTTTGGACAAGCTCCTAGGAATTTGTAAAAAAGGTGGAGCCGTAATTTAATACTTTTGATGTCTTTTCATACTATTTTAGTGGGGTTCTACTTTTCTATCTTTTTGGGGCAATACAATGATTTGGTCCTGATATCGTCCGGTCCTGTACTGCAACAAATATTTTTTTCCTTTCGGCATGAATTATGGGTTCTTTTTGATTAGTTGAGCGACTGCCACATCAAAACTGTGGGTTTCTGTGAAATAGAGTACCCCAAATCCCGTTCAGAACAGCATGCTTCATCATGGTCCGTCATCAGTACCCCATTAAACCTGCCATTTTTATTGGAGATACCGAGACATTTTCGATCGAAGGCATCACCGGTTGCTGCGCACAAAAACCAACCCGTGTGGGTCAAGAGTCAAGATTTCAGGCACATCTGACTAACATCTACTGCTACTGTACTTATCCATACTTATCCATGATTCCATGAGAACTATGCTTGAGTTGTTTAAAGAATATTTTGAGACATATTTCGAAACATACCGGTTGGTGGTTTGGAACATTTTTATTTTTCCATATATTGGGAATAATTATCCCATTTGACCAATATTTTTCAGAGGGGTTCAAACCACCAACCAGCATATGCTTGAAGAACTTGACCCAGACTCCCAGGTTTCACTGGATTCGCCACCTTTTTTGGGGGCCGCTCCCTTTCACCCGGCTTGTGTTACCGGGTGAACCCGGCGACTCTCGTGCGCGAAAAATTCGGGTCTACTGCTATACCCCCCCCTTTGGCAATCTTAATGGGCTGCCCCTGCAGTTGGCAAGATAGACACAGTGAGGTTAACAGCAACTTTTTTTTGGCCTAAACATGGCAAGAAGATCTGAATGTACCGCTATTCGTACCACGCTGGGAAGAAAGCCACTCTGGCGTACCTCGAATGTCATAATGCTGCACGGAGCCTTGAACATGTGGCGTGTGCGTAGATGATCCTCCTATTCATAACTAGAGTAAAATGGTTAAAACAACTGCAGAACCCCCGCATAATTGAAGGCATTATTACAATATACAAAAAAAACAATACAATTACATAGATTGATAAGGGACTCCCCATGACGGCATACCCAGTGCAACAAATTTGGATGGCGGAGATAGAGCTGATTCTGGCCAGAGATGTACCTCGAGTTTGGAGTTATCCTTATTTTCCATGGGTTTGTTTGAACACAGGAATATAATGGAATATACAGGGTACCCCCAACTTAGTATTTTCAGACAGACCCACATTGGATATATTTGGTTATATGTCCTACGAAATATCCCCTTGAATATCACCTGAAATCTCCATGTTTATACTTAAACCCCATTGTTGATGGTTAAAATAATATGCCAACTTCAAAAATTCTTTTTGGGCAGCCTGTCAGGACTTCTGGCGATGCTTAGGGGATTATGGCATCGGGTGCGGGTGGCCCAGCCCCTTCTGGAGCAATTTTTGATGGTTTTATGATTCATTGACTATCAAGTTTGGTGATTAGACCCCCATTAAATCCCCATTGTTAATGGATTTAATGGTTAGATACCATGAAATATCGAAGCGCTATAAACCCCGTAAGATCCCCATTGTTCTTGGTTAAATCCCCACGAAATCCCCAGTTTGTTTTCAGCTGAGGCTCCTAATGGCTGGTCATCCCCAGCTGGCCCTGCAGCCTGGAGACTCAGGTTCACTGGTTCCAGGTGAATCAATGATTTAAACATTCAAAGATCAACTACCAGACTATAAATAACCAGAGTGTAATGATTTACCCATCATTTACCCATCATTTACACACTGGTTATGACTAACAGTTCGCCATGGTATAGATGGCCCATAGTTTTATAGATGGTTTACCGTTCTTAATAGCATGGTGATTTTCCATGGAGAAGTGTTAGCCATAACCAGATGGTATATGTTTAACCTATGATCTTCATCAAACTGGCTTTTCTGAGGATTTGCGAGACTGGATCCTGATCATTGCCAGCATTTTCATCGGAGTTTTGCTCTACCTATGATGGTTGGAATTCCAAACAAAATGGTGGGATGACCATAGCCCACAATGTTTAGACCATGGCATAAATATAACATTGGATATTGTCATTGTACATGACACCGGAAATTACTCTGAAACGTGGTGGGATTCACTTGGTTTAAATGGGGCAAGGCTTCGACTTGGGGGTGCATCCTGGGATTCACAATTGAGGGGTGCCATGACAAGAGATGTGGCATCCACAACAGGACGATCCCAAGACGGTGAATGCCGAAGAAAATGGCCTCCGGTGAAACGTGTGGAGGTTTCTAACTGGTAACATCATCGAAGTAATTTGGGTGATTTTCCAGCCACGTTGGATTACCAGAGGGTAATTGGATTAGAATCCCCATTGTTGATTGTGAAATCCCATGAAATCAAAAGCAATTAAGATCTCATCAGAATTCCATGACATCCCATTAACAAAAACATGAGACATATATATATATATATATATGTATATATATATGGGGATGGGTCAAAACCTTGTACCCCTGGTGAAGCTCAAAATAGCTGGTAAATGGATGTTCATCACCCTAAAAATGGTACTTATAGGTATTGATCCATAGCCGTATATATATATATACACCATTCCCACCAACATTGCATTAGAATTCCATTAAAATCCCATGAACATGCCATTTTTCCATCCATTGGGCCCAGGACCTGCCGCCAAGCCTCGGATGGCTGCCGCTCGCAGTTGGAGCCCTGGAAGGTGAACTCTCGAAGTTTTGAAGGAGAAACTTCCAGTTTTTCTTGACGGTCAAGTGGCATATTCTATGATGTTTGAACTTGGGACCCATTTCCTATTCATTTCCTATATGGTCCCATGGGAAAATCAAAAATACCATGGGGATGGACCATAGCAGCTATGACATAGCTATTTTTTTTGGGGGATGAACTTCCATAAATCACCGCCAAAAAATGATGTAAACTCCAGGGCTTCACCAAGGTTCACCGTTCGGGTCGATGGTTGACAAACTAAACTGGTGGTCCAGTGAACTGGTCCTCATTGTTTGAATCACATCAGGTATGATCCCCTAGTAACATCTGGTAACTAGTAATCCATATCATATGTTCTCATGAAGTCTCATGTGTTTCTTGTTTACCGCCTCCATTTAAGTGCTGAAATGTCCCTCATTTGGGTTGAGATATGTTTTTCATACCAAGGCTGAATGTTTGGTCAACCTTCCAAATAGGATTCCAAAAATGAGAGATTTACCAGAATTTATGGCAGTTTAAGTGAGGAAAATGACAATCAAACAGTGCATTTGGTGGTATCCTAGTTTCAGACAGGCCCGTCTGTAGATGGCTTCCCTTTTGAACGCTTTGTTAAACTATGACTATGAGTCCTATGAGTGTAATGGCTATGGATCAAAGCTGGTTACCGCATTTTTTGGTGTAGCTTCACCGCTGATTTTGACCTATGTTCCCAAAATCTGAAGAGAAAGTCTGCAGGAAAGTCTCAGATTTGAGACTTCTCCTAGTCGAAAAAAACGGTGTTTCTCAAAATGGGATAAAATTGGGGTCTCCCAAAACCATGGCTTTCCGGATCTTCCATACCCAACCCGCCACATCTAAGATTGTTAAAACTTTCAACAAAAACTGGGACACTCTGATTTACATAAAGCTTGAGGTTTGGCGCGTTGCACCCTGATGCGTTGCGCTTGCAGCCGGGGAGCTAACGGGCCATGGGTTGTCAGTTGGAAATTGGCCAGGTGCCACTTGAAAAACAGCGTTGATTTTTATGGGTGTATCGCTATCTATCATTGCAGATTGGATCAACAAACATCTGGGATTAACCAACAACAAACGGAGAACATGAGCAAAAATCATGAAAGACATTGAAAGACAACCAATTTTTACATCTGCTTGGTGGTTTGGAACATGACTGGATTTATTTTTCCATTGGGAAATGTGTCACCCCAACTGTTACTCACTCCATGATTTTTCAGAGGGTTTGATCCATTGCATTTCACCAGAGTTTCGTGGGAGATATGGATGTTGTTTTTCATTGGGGTACCAAGGGACCCGCAAGAAGCTGGAAATAGCTGGGCATGTTTTATGCAGGGGTCAATCATTTTGACCCATATCCATAAGATATATTAATATATATAATATAGTTAATGGCTATGATATACTTGGTGTAGTTCCACTTCATTTGGATGGCTATATGGCCAGAATTATAGGGGTTACACTCCTACTTTCTCTACTCACCACCAGTATCATCACGTTTTCGGAGTTTAAATTCTATCAACCACTCCTAAATGATTCAGATTATGATACTGATTCATAGTCACTACCCATTCATCATTTAATTTTTATTTCAATTAGATTTGTTGATTAATTTACATGATTGACTTCAATCAATCTAATCTTTAATACATGTTCGATCAAATGACCCCATTCAATTGACATGATTTATTTCATTGGAGTGGTTTAATGGAAACTTTACAGAATACCCTTATATGTTCTATCGGTAAAAACCATGGTTTTCCTATAGATTTTCCCTTAGATCAATCCCATGATTACCAAATTTGGTGATTCAATCCGATTCAATCCCCATGACATTTTCATGAAATCCCTGTTGTTCATGCTTAAATCCACATTTCCAACCCACAAAAATCCCCCCTGGGGGGGCGCCAGATTTTCGTAGGCACAACGTGGGCACGGCCTTACATCACTCAGGGATGAAGGTGCCTTTTTTGGGGGTGGGGGGATAGGGGGACATTCATGTGTGATTTATATGGGATGTTCATGGGATTTTCATGGCATCTAAGGGGATTTAACCATCAGAAATAGGGATTTCACCAATGAATAATAATGGACATGGGTGTCTGAAAATGGGATAGACGAATTGTTTATTTTCAACCAACACCAAAGGATGTATATATTTAACTTAGACATAGCCGACGCCCAAAAAAAACTGGGCAATGCAGGCCGAGAATGGAAACCTCCGACTGGTTAGAGATGATGGTTCTGGTGGTCACCGGCAATGTGGGTGATGGCTATGTCCAATAATTAAAAATTCAAACATGAGGATTTACAAAGGATTTAACCATCAAGAACAGAGATGTCATGTTTACCCCCCCCGCCAACTCCCAAATCGACCCTGCCATGATGTATGGGGGCGTTGGAGGCGGCCTTCTTTCCAATCAAAGAGAAGGGGGTTCTGAATGCTCGTTTAGGAGGTTGGTAACCATCAAAAATGGGATCAAATGGGTGTGACCTAAGTGTTTAACTAGCAAACGTGGGGACTTAACTATCTTAACCCATGAAGAATGGAGATGGGCTTGTCCAACAAATGGGGTATATTGCAATTTCCCCAACATTTTCCGACAAACCCATGTCGTAGATAATATGATAATATTGTAACGTATCAAATCATCTATTAGATGACTGTAGTAAACCCCTGTTTGGCACCCTGCTTTTGAATAACCAGCATTGGATTTTTCCCAAATTCGACCAAATCAAGGTACAATCTCCATATTTTTTTTGGGTCAAATCTCTAATAGTTCAGGATGTTTAGGTGCTTCAATCATGGATTTGGCTCCTGAAATCTGCATGGATTTGGGTCGCGGGGGCTCCAGGCGGACGCTGAGAATACCTTTCACTCTGTCTGGCAGAGCCGGACCCAGACCCTGGGGTTCGGGCGTCTCAGGGCTGCGCCACCCCACGGCCCCACCCCACGGCCCCACGGATCCTGGGCTTGTCATGGGGAACCAACCAGTGACATTTTTGTTTTTTTTATAGCAACAATGGGATATGATGATTATGGATTATGATGCAAGGGACTTGATAACTTAGTGACTTAGTGGTTCGTTTTTGTGATGATCTGGTTCGTTGGGGGTAACCCCACAGGGGACGATCCCGTTTATCAACGCCTCCGGGAAAACAGACCGAGATTATGCGACTTCCAAGGGATCTTTTTAAAGAGTTGATGCAATATCTGATGCAATATCTGATGTCATCACCCGGATTGGTAGACCTGGTAGACCCATAGTTGAAGGTTTTATTCGGCTCCGTATTTTGGTGGCAGATGATCACTGTAGGTGCTACCCAATTCATCCGCTTCCCCTTGACTGGAAATTCAGGCAGCATCACCCGGCCACGTTACGCAGCTTGAGTGAGCCGCTCGTCAGTGATGAGGCAGCAAAACTTGGTAAAATCGTGATGCTATGATGGTGCAAAACTTTTGCAACACCATAGCAACACCATAGGAACACCATTATTCCCAATTAAAAGATAGTGACCGTGGTGATGATGACCATGAATGGTGATGGCCAATAGGATCCCATACGGACAAATTTGACCATGGACCATTCCAATTCAGACAATGCTGGGGAATCCTGCGCAAAAGATGGCTTATGTAAAAGATGTTCTACCCAGCTCCGGTATTCCTTTTTTCAGGTACCCAAGATTAGCCATGTTTGGCACATGGTTGGTGGCTCATATGGGTACGGCTCAGAACCTTACTGATGGTTAGGTCATGATAAAATCCCTATACAACAGCTGGAGATGCCACTGGTGCACACATCGCATGTCGATGCTTCGCGCTCGCCACATCGCCCGTCGCAATTGCAAAGAGAGGGGCAAGCGAGTGCATTTAAGAAGACCCTAAGGACGCGAACGATCGCATCTTATGGCGTATATAAACAACTTGGCGAACAAGATGGGATGGCAAGATATGTTAACCTGCTAACCCATCAGAATTAGGATTTTATCAAATTTAGTAACATATATTTACTATTTAATGTTTTGGAACCATGAGAAATCGCGATTTTATGTCAAACAGATTAAATCATCAGACAGAACTCGGCAGTTGCCAAGACACCATTGTTCCTTGTCTGCCCCAATAGATGGAACAAGCGCGCAAAATTCAGGTTCCAACCTGACGGGACTATTGGGACAGGGGGATGGTCCCCATCCCTATGATATTCTTGAGATGGGTGGTTGAAGCACCAACCAGTTTAGGGGTGTACCTCTAAACCTATTCACCTCCAAAACGGATAATTCACCACAGTTTCCCCTTCAGGATTTTTCACAAGCGAACAGAATGAGCACAGACACTCGACCACACACTGAGGGTCCTTAACCCTGGAGGACACTTGCGCTGAAAAAGCAATCCGGGCTGATTCTCACAGCCTTCGAGCGAGCTCCCATTGATCAAGCGGCTTTCAGACCGACTGCCCGTGAGTACACCGTCGGAATCGCATTGTGTGGGAGAGCAAAATTATGGGAAGATGCTTGCCTGCTCATTAGAAGAATGGCAAGGGACAATGTGACTCCAAACGTCATCAGCTACAATGCAGCAATCAGTGCATGTGAGAAGGGAGGTCAATGGCAGCAAGCACTGATCTTGTTCCGAGAAATGTGTGCCACAATGATTAGTCCAACTGTGATTAGCTACAATGCGGCGGTCAGTGCTTGTGAGAAGGGAGGTCAATGGCAGCAGGCACTGTTTTTGCTTCAAACGATGCCCAAGGCAAACATTCGCTTAGACGTCATCAGCTACAGTGCGGCCATCAGTGCATGTGAGAAGGGTGGTCAATGGCAGCAGGCACTAGCCTTGTTTGAGGCAATGCTCAAGGCAAGCATTGGTTTAGATGTTATCAGCTGCAGCGCAACAATCAGTGCGTGTGAGAAGGGCGGTCAATGGCAGCAGGCACTAACCTTATTTGAGGGGATGCGCAATGCAAGAATTAGTCCAACTGTAATTAGCTACAACGCGGCTGTCAGTGCTTGTGAGAAGGGAGGTCAATGGCAGCAGGCAATGTTTTTGCTTCAAACGATGCCCAAGGCAAAAATTGGTTTGGACGTGGTCAGCTACAGTGCTGCCGTCAGTGCATGTGAGAAGGTGGGTCAATGGCAGCAAGCACTGGCCTTGTTCAAAGAAATGCCTGCTACAAAGGTAAGACCAAACGTAATTAGCTACAGCGCAGCTGTCAGTGCATGTGAGAAGGGTGGTCAATGGCAGCAAGCACTGGCTTTGTTTCATGCAATTCCAAAGGCAAACATTGATTTAGATGTTGTAAGCTACAATGCGACAATCAGTGCATGTGAGAAGGGAGGTCAATGGCAGCAAGCACTGATCTTGTTCCGAGAAATGTGTGCCACAATGATTAGTCCAACTGTGATTAGCTACAATGCGGCGGTCAGTGCTTGTGAGAAGGGAGGTCAATGGCAGCAGGCACTGTTTTTGCTTCAAACGATGCCCAAGGCAAACATTCGCTTAGACGTCATCAGCTACAGTGCGGCCATCAGTGCATGTGAGAAGGGTGGTCAATGGCAACAGTCAGTGACTCTCTTTGAAAAGATGTTGTCAGCCACAGTGCAGCAACTCACAGTTTTTCAGTGGCTCACTGTGGGCGGCATTGCTTAAAGTGAACCTGCTGGACTGATTCAAGGTTCGAGGGCTGGTCCCATGTCCACCAGCGTTCTACATCGTTGGGGACATGGACTTGTTGCACCAATCACCTGGCTGTGGGAACCGGATGACGATCGATCTCTTTGGCCAAAAGACTTCTCAACGCAGTCTTCGGACATTGGCCCTGAATTTTTGGGGTGTTTGTCCTTTCATGAAAGTTAAATCCCAATGTCTGTTGGTGCAATCAACAAGTTTTAATAAGTTTTGTACATATATATATAGAACTATGATATTATGTAATATGTATATATAATATACACATATTATTGGAGGGCTATTTTTTTGGTGTTTCTTTTTTCCGTTTTGCTTTTAATTTCTGGTTCCCAGCTTCTCTGCTTTTCAGCTTTTCCGCTTTTCTATGCTTCTTTGCTTCTCCGCTTTCGCCTGCTGGCCTGCTTTTCTGCTTTTTCCTGCTTTCCTGCTTTTCTGTTTCTTTGCCTCTCTGCTTCTCCGCTTTTCTGTTTTTCCCTGCTTTTCTGCTTCTTTGCTTTCTGCTTTCTGCTTCCCTGCTTTTCCTTGCTTTTCTTTTGTTTCTCATACTGTAAATTAAACCCTAAGAAGCATCACAAAATACATACACCCTACTGTAAATCAGCCCTAGAGCAACCCAAAATAAAACCCACAACAAAACACACTAAAGCAACACTAAGTATTTCCAAACCATTCCCTAAATAAATCTGAAACTAATCCTAAATAAACCCTAAACCCACCCTCAACAGATCCTAAACCAACCCACATATGATATATGTTAAACCACGCCTAAATAAACCTCACACCAACCCTAAATAGATCTTACACCATGCCTAAATCAATCCTAAACCAACTCTAAACAACGATTCAAGCAACCATAAATAGGTCCTACACCAACTCTACACAGAACATAAACCAAACCGAAATAAAACCTAAAACCAACCCAAGATAGATCCTAAACCAACCCCAAATAGATATTAAACCAAGCCTAAATAAACCTTAAACCAACCCTAAATAGATTTTAAACACGGCCTAAATAGATCCTAAACCAACCCCAAATAGATATTAAACCAAGTCTAAATAAACCTTAAACCATTCCTAAGTAGGTCCTACACCAGATAGATTTTTTTTTCGCCTAAATAACCCCCAAAACCAACCCTCAAGAGAGATCTTAAGCCAACCCTACATATATCTTAAACCAAGCCTTAGTAAACCCTAAAACCAACCCTAAATGAACCCTAAACTATATAACCCTAAATAGATTTTAAACCAAGCCTTAATAATTCCTAAAACTAATCCTAAACGAACAAACGCTAACTCTAAAACCAACGCTTAAAAGAACCGAAAGCCAAACCTAACAGACACCCTAAACTAACCCTAAATGAACAGTTCGAGCACCAAAATGTTGCAAATTCAATGGAAAATGACAGGTTCAAACTCAAAATTGCTGCAAATACCGCTGACATGGCAGCTTCCAGCTCCAAAATGCTGCAAGTAGCACCAAAATGTTGCAAATTCCATGGAAAATGAGAGGTTTGAACTCAAAAAATGCTGCAAATACCGTTGAAATGGCACCTTCCAGCTCCAAAATGCTGCAAATAGCAAGGAAAATGGACAGAACAGGAAATCCGAAAAAAGAAACAAAACGGAAACAAAAAATCATCCCCAAACAATTCCAGACCCCAGACATATATATATAATATTAGTTTGGTTAAATCCAAGTTGTAATCCAACTTTTTGATGATTTGAACGCAATTCTTGTTGATAAAATCACACTTTTTTGTTCTTGCTTATAGCTCCGACTCAAAGCTGGATTCCTGTTGGTTACATCCCGTAATTTTATCTCAAAGTAAGATGACCCCCAATAAATTGAGTTTGGAAGAAAACCAACCTATATTTTCCCATTGAACATGGCATTTTTTTGGGAGGGTCCATGTTTTTCAGTCAGAGGTGTAACTTTTGTGGCTATTGAACATAGCTATGGAACATCACCATGTTTAAGAACGGTAAATTATCATGGCCATTTTCAGTAGGACATTTTCAATGGGCCATTTTTTCTGGTGATCATCTACTGTACAAATGGGCCATTTTCCATAGCAAACTGTTACCCTCTGGTTATTTAACAGTTCGCCATGGAACATCACCATGCTATTAATAGGTAAACCATCTATTTCTATGGGCCATCTATACCATGGCAAACTGTTAGTCATAACCAGATGCTATATATGTATATATATATATATATGGTCCATTGGTACCCTGATGTTGAGCCATACCCATACCACCTAATATGGACGAGATCACCATTTTCAAATATTTTCAATAGCAAACTGTTAAATTTTCTCGGGGTAACTCCCATTTTTTCTCGCTTTTTAAGGCTGGCTGTGGTGGTGGCTCATCGAAGTCCTGTCGAGGCGAAGGAGAGAACTGCTCGTCGGATCGTGGGATTTTTTGGATTGGCGATACGGCGATACCGAAAACCAAGGGATGGTAATGGGAATGGGATGTGAAAAGGACTAGGATTACCGAACTAACAGTTACTAACAATAAATGAGGCTACCAGCCAGTCATCCAGATGAATAAGGGACTAGGATTTTTGGATGGCCAATTTTAATGGTATTTTAATGGGCGTCGAATAGGATTTTAATGGGATTTAACGGAATTTTGATGGGATTCTAATGGGATTTCATTGGCTTTCAACGGGATTTCATGGGAGTTCACAGTCAAGAGTCGGGATTCCAATCCAATTACCCTCTGATAATCAAACATGGCTGGCTGGAAAAAAGATCCGTTAACAGTTCGATCGTTCGTTTCCCATGTAAATGATCCGATTTAGTTCGAGGGTTTTCAGATTTTAAAATTTAGTTGTAATTCTCTAATTGGTGGTTTCAAAGATGTTTTTTTTTAATTATTCAACCATTTATTTGGGACGATGATGATGATCCCCATTGACTCGTATGTTTTCCTATGTTTCAGGTGTCGAAACCACCTACAAGCAATAAGAACTAGGTAGTCAAGATGATTTACTTAAGATGTGATAGTTTACTGATGTTTGCTGTATGTAAATGTATGCAAAATTGGGAAGCACTCCAAAAACATATTTGGTTTTGTTGGGTCTATGAGTCACGCGCATTTGCCCAGGCGTACTTGGTGGGTACGTGTGTTCCCCTTAGTACGTAGGTGATAAGTCACCATGATTCTCTGAAAGTTCTTCAGCTTGTGCAAACTACGAACTGGCATGTGTTTGTCATATGTTTATCCACAAATGCCTTTCGATAATGATAAACCGTGTCGCATTTTCTGAGTAGAACAAGCCAGTCTTGTCCGCGTTTTCAGCTACCCTTCAGTTAACTTTGAGCCAATTCTGATGACAAACATGTGGTATTGCGCTGATGAATCATAAATCATCCCTGTCATTGATCACAGAATTACCATTTGACAAATAGACATAAACATATGCATTTTTTCTGGATGCAGAAGAATAGATCAAAGGTCGCGTAGGTGCTGGTGCAGGCTCGTTCAAGATCGTTTGAGGCTAAAGGCTTTGCGTAGACACCAGTTTGCAACAGTTAGAATCCATTTATGGCATTCATCATGCCACAAAAGAAAACACAAAAACACGGCGGTGCAGGCAACCGCCTACGCCGCTTGGGGTCGCGTAGGCACCCCTTGAAAAGCTTTCTCACGGGGCCACGGATTGTCTGAAATCGGGGAGCCAATTCCATCTACACTGGTTGCTTTATCATGGTATATCCATTTTTGGACATTCTAGTAGAATTAATCCCATATTCTAGAACTTAATATGGATATACCCAATCATATTCCATTCTAGAAACATCATATTCTAGAACTTAATCCCATTTTGAGATGATTCTCCCATGAAAAAAAAGCCATGGATGGCCAAATCGCTAGATTCAATGACATCAAGATCCCATGAATATTTCTCAAAGACAAGGGACATGCCATGAATATCCCAGCGATGAAACCTGAGGAGCTCCAACGTCAAGCCTTGAAGGGCAAACAGGTGGGCTCGAAAAGGAGTGGAAAGAGGAATTGTATTTATAGCATTACCATCTGGTTATTTAACAGGAAAATGGTGATTTAATGATGGTTTAATGGTGGTTTAATGGGATAAATACCATCTGGTTATGACTAACAGTTCGCCATGGAACATCACCATGCTATTAATAGGTAAACCATCTATTTCTATGGCCATCTATACCATGGCGAACTGTTAGTCATAACCAGAGGGTAATGATAAGCATGTCAGACTATGACAGAATCCTGAATTGGATTCCATGGCGGGAGAATTTTCAGGATTTCCCAACAAAAATTCTTGGTAAAGCCCCCAACAAGACCCCACTCGGACCAGTTGTGGCAGGCCTACTACGGTGTGTCGCATCCAGAGTCGCTGTCGCCAGGGGCCTTGGCAATTTCGATAGCCCCAAAAAGATGCAGGGAAGATTCGAGTTGCCATTTTCTTGGGGGATTTGGATTTTGCCTTTCTGCGCGAGGGTGCTAAATTTTTGATGGTGAAGTTATCCCCCAGCCTCGTGACAAACCTTATTGCAAGATTATACAGACAATGGAAAGCACAGGTCTTGGCCATGTAGGAGTAAAATAACTTTTGAGGGCACCCCCAAATCATCCAAACTTAGACCATGCCATGGCTTCGCATTGAAAGATCCATGGTGACTTGAGGATCCATTCACGAATCCAATCCTCCATGTTTATTCTATTAGTACATTCACCAACATTTGTCCCAAGAATGGCTTGACTTAACTGCAGCTAAATATGCCAAAATGGATGTCTTGTAGCCCATCTGAGGGCCATGGTGAGCCTTGCGTATTCCCTTTGGAAGGCCTGGGCGTCCAATAAAATTGGGTGGTTTCACGGTGAAATGGACGTAAAACACCAAGCATTCCTTTCATGGGGATGTCTTTGGATATATAGCCAACAGCATCCAATTCTGGGTCGAACCTTAAGCCATTGGGTCGCGGTCGCGGTCGCGGGGTGCCCCACTGGAGTGGTGCCCCAACTGGGTGAATCTCAGAAAATCGACGGCAACTTCCCTGCAGAGATCATCGTTGGTCAAATCATGTCAAATCCAAATTCTTGATGCGGAAAAAAGTGTCGGCTCATTTTTGATGGTTAAAGTATGTTAAAGCACACTTTTTGATTTTTACGTGCCACCCCCATGCTTCAGTCCACTGATTTCCCATGTGATCATTGCAGGTTGAGGCTATCCACGTTTTTGTTGCTGGTTATTCAAACATCTTGTTCCATTTTGGATGGTTGAAACATGTAGAAATTCGTTCGCGTTTCTACCAGGAGGATCGCCAGTCAGAAGCTGAAGATCTCTACCGACGCGCCTTGCTGTGCAGCCGGCGGAGATTGCTGCTGTGGGAATTCACATGGGACTTTTAGTGGGATTTTATTCTGATTTTTAATAATAAGACTTTAATGAAAGTTTAATGACAATTTTAATGGGATGTTCATGGGTATAATTTGGGTATAATTGGGATTTTAGTGGCATTCAATCACATCTTCACTAATGACGGTCATAAAGGAGTGAGCAGCAGTGCTGGGGAGTGGAACTACCAAATGCACCGAAGTAGCAGGCGAATGAATGAGAAGCAAAGGTACTACACCCTCTCACTTGTCCAAGACCTAACTTTTAAACTTTTTTATGTAGCCTGCCTTTTGATCATAGTTTCTTTGATGTTATGTATGGTGAAGTTGCCGTGCAACCGCCAGCGATGTCAAGCTTTTGCTGGGGCGAGGAGATAGCAAAATCTCCAAGGGTGAGGAGAGAGTAAAAACTAGAATTGATTAATGTACCCAATTCTTTAGAAAATAAAGCGTTAGCGTGCTGCGAGTGGCAGAAAGTAGTGGCGCTCCTGCACTCAGAGAGTGCGGCATATCTTCGCGGCCAGCGTTGAGGAAAACTTTTTGGAGTTTGGAGCGCGTCCAAGTTTTGTTTAAAACGCCTGCACATAGCTGGTCTTTTTGAAGCGACGTATGCTTGAACTGGTGTTTGGTTTGAAAGCTGCTTCGAGCCAACACAACCAGTTGCGTCCGCTCGGGTGGGCTACCTTGAGTACTCAATTGCCAATCTTAGGTCCCTACTTTACTGCTTTAGTTTTTTGCTAGTAGCCCCCCCCTGATGACATAGTGCTGTCAAATAATTCAATAAATCAGATCACCTATTCCATATTCTGGTAAGCTTCAGCTCTTCAGCAGAGCTGCTGCTGCTGCGCCGAGCTGGTGGCAGAGGCGTGGTTGGGGCATCGGGACTATCTTCGAAAGAACATGTTTGGCCACCGGTTGCTTGAACCTCTTTTTTGTTGGAACGTCACTTTTCAGCGTGGCTGAAGTCATGGCAATTCGTCATCGTGTGCACTGGTACACAGCAAGCTTCCTAAGCGCCGCTGAAGATTTTTTGCTAATTTGCTACTGATGTCACAACATCTTTGGGTTTTGTTGCTTCAACTCAGCTTGCTTTGCAGAAGCACAATCTTGTTTCATGTCTTGCAGAAGAGTGCATGCCACAAACAATTCGTCGATTTCAGAAACAACAGTGACCGATAGCCATATAAGTTTAAACAGCGGGGCGGGACAGCAGAACAAATGCAGTCTTGGTAGCTCCCGCGGTCTTGGTGGGAAATTTAAGTTGCGACTTCGCCTTTAACGATCCAGAAACGAGATAGACCAATGGTTTTATTAAGTGTAAAAGGCGGGGCAGGGCAGCACAAATAGTGAAGCGTTGTTACGTATTCCCAATTTTGGTGGGAAATTCATGTTGGCACCTCGCCTAGTTACAACCTGCCAGCCCGGCGGCAGCTCCCAGCTCTAGAGTAAACAAAATCAAATCCTGGAGTTCGGTGCCATGGCCTTATGTTTCTCAGACGCAGTGGTCAGAATCCCGGTTTCCTGAACATTTGTGGAATTGAATAGCATTCAGGAGCATGCAAATTGATGGAGCAGGGTTCCTGTGGTTTTAATTTTTAGTGGTTTTGTAGAACAGACCTGCTTGGCAAGTTGGAGCAAAGAGGCACTAGTGGCAGAATATATTCCCTAGGGCCAAGCTGCAGTGTCGCTAGATACCAAGCCCACAATTGATAACCATGAATTTAAAAATCCGGAATCTGGGGTGGATATTAACAATGAACCACAATTGATACCAATGAATTCAGCATTGACCAAGGTCCCCACAGCTCGACGGAAATCATCATGAGAGAACGTGGCGTCTCAAGATGCTTACGAGGACGATAAAATGTATGGAAAGTTCGGTGGGGGCTCAAAGAAACACAAAAAGTAAGTGGTTAACTGACTAGTGGTTTGGAACATGAAGTATATTTTTCCATATATTGACATTCCCAACTGACTTTTGTATTTTTCAAAGGGGTGGCTCAACCACCAACCAGTTAATAATCATATTTAAATAAAATATATATATATATAGATATATCCAAGCTATGGGATGACCCCATTTATACTAGGGACTTACCTTTTCTATTGAAACTAGACAATTTATAGTTGATTGACCTATAGGTGAACTGCCAGGCAAAGTCGCCTCTTTAGCGCCCTTCCCGTTTTTCCGTAGCAGTATAGTCGCTAAGATTCTTAACCCTAAACCCTACCTTAAACCTTACCTTCTTAACCCTAAACCCTACCTTGCGAGATTCTTATCCCTAAACCCTACCTTGCGAGATTCGTAACACTAAACCCTACCTTGCGAGATTCTTAACCCTAAACCCTACCTTGTGAGATTCTTAATTCGAAACCACATCTTGCGATATTTTTAACCCTAAACCCTACCCTGCGAGATTCTTAAGCCTAAACCCTACCCCTGCGAGATTCTTAACTCTAAATTCTACCTTGCGAGCCCTACACCCTAAACCCTACCTTGCGAGATTCTTAACCCTAAACCTTGCCCTACGATTCTTGACGATAAACTCTACCTTGCGAAACCTAAACCCTAAGCCTACCTTGCGAGATGTACACCCCAAAACCTAACCCTTGCGAGACCTAAACCCTAGATTCTACCTTGCGAGACCTAAACCTTAAATTCTACCTTGCGAGACCTAAACCCCAAACTCTACCTTGCGAGAGGGAAACCCTAAACCCAACCTTGCAAGAACTAAACCCGAAACCTTACTTTGCGAGATTCTTGGCCCTAAAGCCTACCTTCCGAAATTCTTAGCCCTAAATCTTGCGAGATTCCTAACCCTAAACCCTACCTTGTCAGATTCTAAATTCGAAACCACACCTCGCGATATTCTTAACCCTAAACCCTACCTTGCGAGATTCTTAGCCCTAACCTTACCTTGCGAGATTTTTAACCCTAAACCTTACCTTGCGAGATTCTAAACCCGAAATCCTATCCTGCGAGATTCTTAACCCTAAACTCTACCTTGCGAGACTTAAACCCTAAACTCTACCTTGCGAGACCTAAACCCTAGACCCTACCTTGCGAGACCTAAACCCTAAACTCTACCTTGCGAGACCTAAACCCTAAACTCTACCTTGCGAGACCTAAACCCTAAACTCTACCTTGCGAGACCTAAACGCTAAACTCTACCTTGCGAGACCTAAACCCTAGACCCTACCTTGCGAGAACTAAACCCCAAACTCTACCTTGCGAGATCCTAAACTTTACCTTGTGAGATTTTAGATCCTACCGTGCGAGATTCTTAACTTTAATCACGACATATCCCGACCTTGCGAAATTTTGACCCGAAACTCCATCCTAAACCCTGCCCTGCGAGATTGTTAACCCTAAACCCTACCTTGCGAGACCGATTTCCCAAAACATATTCCTTTTATCATCTCCCTAGCAACGGTATCTGAGATCGCCACCATGGTGCGCGACATCATCTGAGGCTGGACCCGCGGCTTCGTGAATTATCAACGTCGGTATACGACATACACTCTTTGTTTGCCAAACCACGTGATGTAAGATGAACCCTAAAAATGTTTGGAATCTCACCCTTCCGGTTCCAAAAGTGTTTGGCATCTGCGGTGATAGTCTGACTCCCCCTCGGAGTGGCCTGCTCTGGCTGACTCGCTCGCTTTTTTGACACTGCTGAACCTTGTTCACAAGGGCCAGTCTTCTGCACAGAGAACAAGCAAAGCCAAATCCATTCTAATAAAAACAGAAAACCCACAATGGTAAATACTATATTTCGCTTGTTTCCAACCAATTTGTGATCTTATATTTGTACTATCATGTGAATCAAACAGTCTATTGTATAACATACTATATTTCAAAGAAAACAGACTGCCATATCTCTGTGGTGCGCCCCGCCCCCATCTCAAGTGGTGAGAGTGAAAAGAACAGCTGGTTGACTGCAGCAGCAGCTATATATAGCTAGAGAAATCGTGACGGGGTCCAAATCTATCTTTTCTTAGAAACATGGTTGCACATGCAATTCATGACCCAATCGCACCAGCCATTTGACATTTCCAGCTGTTTGTTCTTCAAGCCCCTGTGGGCCTTCCCCTGTTCTACACATCTCCCCGAAGCACTGGATCTGGCATTGTCGACATGTAGGATTCAAATGCGTGTAAGGTGAAGTTCCACATGCATCAAAATAAATCAGGATATGATTCCTCACCTACTACCCCATGGTTTGTTCGAACACATCTCAAACCGCTCACCGGCATGAAGCTGCATGCAGCTGGCTTGTGGTATCCGCGCAAGGTGCCTTTGGCCAACTCAATGAGAAGTGGACAGGTCATGTGGAAAACCATCACCCAAATAGCACTAACGTGGTTTCAGGACATGTTGCTTACATCCAGGGTACTTTAGATCACTCTTCGGGCGGTAGCCCTGGGATCATCAATGAAAATTCAACAATTTCTGTGTGATTCAATCAGTGGACATCATGTTTCGTGATTGAAACAATTGAAACATGGAACATGAGGATCGAACCGTCAATGAACCAAGCATCATTTTCATGTCATTACGGAACATAAGGGTTCTTAACCAGCAAAAGAAATGGGCATGACTGTTGGTCCAGTGTTTTTTTGGGTGAAATCCTGAGGTATTTGGCCATCAAGCTGGATATAGGGATGGTGAACTAAGCCGTGAGGCAACCCTTTGCAGTAACTGGACAGTATAAGCAAATTCGCTCAAACTGTTTCAGCGGGCGCCATGGTTTGCAGGAAAACTGTCGTTCTCTGTAAAAGCCGAACAAGCAGAACGAGCGAAAAGAAATGTGAGACACCAGTCGCAAACCCCAGAACATGAATGTATGATAAATGCGTGAGCTAGGGTTAGCAAACGTTTGCTAACCCTGGCAGGCATTGAAATTCCACTGTTAAGGATCTGTGTCAAGGCCTGCCAGGGTTTTCTGGTGTAGGGTTTTTCTGA